GGGCCTCAGCACGGACCTCACAGCGGCTACGGAGGACAGCATCAGCACAGGTATGCAGCTCCCCCTCGTCCGCCACAGCCGCCGTGGCGGCCTCCGTACGGGCATGCAAATGTGACGCATGCGTATAGTGCTATGCCCTAAGGGGGGCCCGCGTTTGGTAGCGAGTTTGGGGTGTGGGAACAGCAACAGCAGCAGCAGCAGCAGCAGCAGCAGCAGCAGCCTTCGCCAGACTATTACCAGCAACAGCCGTACTACCCGCCTCCGACGTCGTACTACCAGCAGCAGCAGCCACCACCGCAGCCTCCGCCACCGCCGTCGTTTCCGCCGCAGCAGCAGCAGCAGCAGCAGCAGCAACACTTCACCCATGCCCCGCCCCAGTCGCCTTCTCCCGGAGCAGCAGCTTTTCCGCCTGGGCATCTGCACTCCCTGATGGCACACTTTGTGTCCGCTGACGAGATGAGTTCGCTTTCGGTTTCGAATGATGTAGGCAGTGTCGCATGTGGTGATCTTGGTTTTGCTTTGTTTGCACAGAGTTGCGAGTACAGTCCTGGTAGGGAGGTACTTTGGTCTGATAGCGGTGCAAGTAACCATTTTGTGAGTAACAGCTCCAAAATGTACAACATCTCGCCTGTTCCCCCCGGCAAAGAATACATCAGAGTAGGCAATGGTGCTCATTTGCGCGTGGAGTGTGTCGGTAGTGTCAATCTGGCATTCCACATGGCAGGAGGCCGCTCGGGAGAAGTGGATTTTTGTGCCCAATTGACAGACGTGTACGTGGTGCCAGGAATTTCGTTCAACTTGTTCTCTCTGCACCAAACGCAGAAAAAACACAGGATAATGTTGGATGAGAGGGGTGTGCACATTTGCGGCGGTCGGCTTAGTTTCGCATATTCGGATATCGGATGCTCTCTATCGGCCACCCGCTTGCCCCCCTCGTACCGCGACGGTGATGTAATCCCCTCTACCGTTGTCCCTCCCCCCGTTGTCCGCCAAGCGTCTCCGCCTGGCGTTGGCACTGGCCTTTTCGCCCAAAACCCCCCTCCCCCTTCTCAATTTTCAGGATCGGGTGCAGGGTACGGTCCGAGTTCGAGCTTCCCGTCCATCGGTACTGCCGGTGTTGTACCTTCGACTTCGAGCTTCCCGTCCATCGGTACTGCCGGTGTTGTACCTTCGGCTTCGAGCATCCCGTCCACCACTTCCGGTGTAGTACCTCAGAGTGATGTTTCCCCGTCTATCGATGTTGATGTAGTGCCTACGTCAATCCGAGATTTTCAGCCTGCCCTAGCCGCAGCCATCGCCTCATCCGACGTCCTGTCCCCCTCAGTCGTGAACCCGAATGTGTCGCGAGAGATAGAGATCATGCCCCTTGAGTCCCAGGATAATTGGCCTTTGATGTACATGAGTATGTTCTTGGATGTAGGCTTGATGAACGGACAAGACTCGGTCCCACCGGGTGACTTTTATCCCGACCCATTAGGCGTGTGTGAGTCCGTGAAGCCCCCCGTTGCGTTCGCCGTGATGCAAGATGAGTTGGACGTGCTCAGAGACTTTGTTGCCGAGTGCCGTGTGCAGCAAGATCTAGGTCCCCCCTCCCTTTCCCATGCTGTGGCGATTATCGCCCCCGGTGGTCCAGCGTTCACTATAGGAAAACCCACGTCCACCATCGACATTAATTTGTTGCACGCTTCCACCGGCCACGTGAATGAATTTTTGATGCGGGAAACCGCCAAGCAGCAGGGTGTTCAATTGGTGGGGGAACTGCAGCCATGCGTCGGCTGCATCGAGGCGAAGGGCAGGAGGGCCCCGGTGCCGCGGCGTGGAGTCACCCGCGCGGCGGTACCGTTCGGCAAGGTGCACATCGACATCACCGGCCCGTACTCTGAGGCGTTCGATGGTTCCCGTTACCTGATTATGTTCGTGGACAGTGCGTCGCGGTGGCAACGGGCGTACGGCATGCGGGCCAAGAGCGACACCCTGACGTACACGCGGCGTTTCCTCGCCGACCTGAACGTCAACGGCCCTCTGGGATGTTTCCGCATGGACAACGCGGGGGGGTTCACGAGTGCTGCCTTCGTCGCGTTCTGCGACGCCGCTGGCATCCGGCGCGAGTACACCGCGCCCGACACCCCGAAGCAGAATGCGGTCGT